AAAAGAAAAAAGTCAATAAGCAGGGTTTGTACATTTTATTATCAGCTGAGCTGTGATGAAAAGAAAAATACCGTCAAATACTGTGATACCGGTGAAAATGTTGAAAATACCGTGATGTAAAATTTTGATCCTATCGCCCAGCCCTAGTTTTTTCTCTAATGTAAGAATTTCATTGCTCAGGGAAACGTTTTTCATCTGTGCATATGACAATAAACACTTTGAATCTTGAATATTTGAATCTTGAATCTTTGACACTGAGTGACAAAAACAACTACTGTTGTTTTTAGCTACTACAGTTAGATTAGCTATGTGCAAGCAACATATTCTACTACAGTAGGAGCAGAGGGAGAAATGATGATTCATCCCTCACAACATTTCAGTTATATATGAAAAAATATAGAAATTTATTTTGGAAATGAGGAAAATAATGGTTAAAATTTACTCCAATGTAAAATACGATCCCCAAACATTAAAGACAATTTCTGGAGGTTTTTTTTAACGTTATACAAGCATAAATACAGTCGTTTTGTGTTGTTGTTTTTTTTTTCATTTTGATGATTAATAATGTTACACAGATAATCATAGAGCATGGCTGAACAAGCTGTTGTTAACGGACAGGTGTACCTGGGAGCAGGAATCAGCATCTGAACGGCCATCAACAGGATAAGCAGGATGAATGAACAAACCATGTTGGACTTAAAAAGTTCATCTCTGATCTGAGAGTACTAAAAAAAACAAACAAGGAAAGACTGATCAACAACCTATCAGCTGCACCTAAAAGTTTACTCTGTTCTTAAGAGGAAGTTACCTTTCCCTCCATTTGGGAGTCCTTGAACACCTGAGTGAAGGTAGTGATGTGCTCCTTCCTCATTCGCTCACTGCTTCGAACTTCCATTGCCTGACGAATTCTTTTATTGACTTCACGTGAGCCCGATCGTTGAGCTGCGATGTGATTGGGCAGCATAGTCAGAGAGCCGTTGGTGAAAGTGGCCAGGACCTACAGAGCAACACAATGGCAAGAAAAGTTAAATATTAAATCAAATATCCAAATGTTTCAAATGTCTTTGATGTGCTTACAAAATTCATGCCCAGGATGTCTCCAAACGGCAGCTCTGCGCTCCACGTGGTCATTTCATCGTAGCTTGGACGCCTCGCCCTCCGGGGTTGAGCTTCCTCCCATGGCGCTGGGCGGATCAGATATGTGTCTATGTTGTGTTTCCGTAGGAACTCGCTTCGGTCCTGGCCGTGCCCCAGCTCTGTCTCGTAGATCCCATCCAGACAGTCCAGAGTGGCCTTCGAGATATGAACCAGCCTGAGAGGGAAATATATATATTAACTGTATTTTTTAATAAAATTAAATGCTAGGAGTGAACACCTTAGCAAATTCATCCTGAAAGTCAGAATGTGCAATGCTCAAAAATTTTGAACTCCATCTCAGACTCAACAAYTTGAAACAGTTGCAGGAGAAACCCCTTTGTCCCCAAAAAACAACAGGTTTGGTTAGGTAAAGTTTAATTTGAATGAACCACAAGACTTCTAAAACATTGGGCCTCATGCAAGAACCGTTCGTACGCACAGATTTGTTCTTAAATTGTGCGTACGAGTGATTTAGGAGAATTTATGGCATTCACCAATGTTTTCGTATTCTAAGATTTTCTTCAGATTCAAACAAGATTCACGTGTGGTCCAGACCTGTCGTATATTTTACATCAAGTC